TCATTATAAAGGAAAAAATTTCAGATGTAAAATATTAGCCTATACCTGGAGTTTCCAATTTTGAGTTTTAACCGTTCTATATCATATTTTTCCTACAATACGTATCCGCATATTTCCATAAGCATGCTTAAGCAGTGGGTCGGCAAATCCTCGACCTGGAGTTTTCTCGCTTACCTAGTGTAATTCGACACCCAGAATCTGAAAATCCACCCAGAGCGCAAAAAATGGAGAAGACCAGCATTTTTCAAGACCCCTCATTTTGAATCTGGAGCGGTTTCGGCCAAGGTTAGAGGCGCAGAGTCGTTGCGGAACCCCCATAATTATAGCATTGGGACATGCCTCCTCTGTGAGCGAGAGAGGAATCGCATGCTCGTCCAAGTGCGTGTAAGAATGGCTTGCGCGTACGAGTTTAGGGAAAGTTTTCTAGACAAGGGCAGCATGCCGTGCGCTCGGACTGGCTCAGTTCTCATGTTTGGGTGCAAGCAACCTTCCATATCAAAATTTCGACATGTTTGGTTCTGCCGGACCACTGCCTTCAAGCGAACGCTTCGCAAAACCTAAAAAGCTCTTAATGCCCGAATTGAAGAATACACGTATTACCGTCAGAAGAAATCGTACAAACTTCCAACTTGCTCATACATATACTCTTCACAGACACTAGTGCAAAATGTTGCTGTTTCTTTTTTCGACTAGAAATTGAGAAAATAAGAAATTTCATGTTTTGCTAAAGCAGTGCTGGGCTATCCAATATTAAGAACTCTGCGCTACAAACATTTGAAAGTATAACCATAACCTTTTTGCATTCTTCAATCGCTAGTTCTGAAATGACAATTTTAGGTTACCCTTTCAGAATGATTTATAATAAAATCAGTATTTCTTGGGAGTAACAATGTAGAAAGCTAAAAATTTGCGTCATAATCTGAAGATTCGTGTTACTAAAGTAAGTTTGAATGGCCCAGGATTGCTTTGACAAAAACATAATCTTTTCATTTCCTCAATCTTTGGCCAGGAAAAAATATAGCAGTTGTGTGAATGGATAAATGTCTGAAGTGGAGAGTATATGTCTGGCCAAAGAGCTAGAATGATATCCTTAAAAATTGATTAGTGAAGTTCTTGTTGTTGTGTTATGACCTGAAATTATTGGCTTCATATACATGTATTTTTTGTTTTTCGGGAATTGAGCACTTTTTCCAGTCTTCGGCTTTAAACTCGATGTGCTGCAAACTTAAGGCTGGGTTCATACTGATTCCCACGTTCCGGAACTGTTCCCGCGCAATTCCCGCACTGTACTGGAAAACTGTGCTGCATGCGCTGGAGCCGACCCGCATTTTGTTCACACCTACTTCATGTGTTCTAGAGACCTGTCTATGTCCCTTTCAATACAGATGGGAGACTACGCAGCGCCGTCCTAGAATACATGAAGTAGGAGTGAAAAATAGAGAAGAAAGAATGGACGAGTGCACGAAGGCCCATCTTCCCGAATACATGGAGCAGAACAGCGTTCAGTCCTCAACTCCGCTCCAAGGTCGCAACTTTTCTCATCACAAGAAGAAGTGGGGTAGGAGAATGAACGGAAGCAACGATACGGAAAAAGGAAAGGAGCTAAAAATGCCCAAAAACGGGACTCATCAGAAAACAAGGGAAAAGTCTCAATTTATGCAATTTCAGAATTTCCCGCACTCCTTATGTCGTGAAAGATGGCTATGGAAACCACACAGCAGCTTTCCAAAACAAATGAATAGGTCTGAGTAAAAATAAAGCGAAGAGAAAATGGACGAGCACAAGAACACACGTTTTGTCGCATACGCAGAGCAGAAAAGCGCTCATTCTTCAACCCGGCTTCGTGTTCGAAGTTCTGCTGATCAAAATGGGAAGTGGGGTAGAAGAACAAGGCCAAAATGAGGGAAACTTGGAAGAAAAACCGTTGTAACGTTCAAAAGTCAAAATTCTCCAATTTCCGTTGTTCAAAACGCGTGCGGGCCGGCTGCAGCGCATGCAGCACAGTTCTGGAACAATTTCAGCACAGTGCAGGAACATAGGAATCAGTATGAACCCAGCCTAAGGCGCCATCCTTCCCATACAGCTCGCTTTGTTATCTCAAAAAGTATGGCGATACCTATCAATAACGTAAAGAGTATGAGTGCGATCGAAAGAAATGGAAAAAATTTTAGTACAACCTAATTGTTAGACAGCATGCAGCAAAAAATGAACTTTACTATATTATATGAAGAGAAGTAAATTTCTTTGGCCTTGTATAACATAATATGTGACAAAAACACGGGATACTTCTCGCATGGCCTGTTATTGACCCTCATCCAACATATTGGGGTGACCGGTAAAAAATGGGCACGAGAATGACTGTAGATTTCTCAAAAAAAGTGACTGAACTTCCCAATTCTGACAGATGTTAGAATGAGTTATTCTCTGTCAAAAAATACCTATATAAGCTCACTTATTACCTAATAATTTTTATAGGGATGAAACGCAAAGTTAGTTACTTTGACAAACTATAAACTTTGGGCAATGTCTGCGCAGTGAAACATGCGAAACAATCCAAAGTACTACTGCTGCGATGCGTGAAGGTACAGTCACCAGACCCACGATGGGTTGCTGGCCTACTTTCAAATTCAGGAAATATGGCCATCAGTAGGTTTGAGAACAGAGACACCTGCTATTCAATTCTTTGCAGGTGAACGCATGTTTCATGGGTACCATCTGAAGGAGCTTTTTACGCTCTATCCATCTGTATGCAGCTTACCTCATATTTAACTTATCTTCGGAAAATACAGATTGAAACTTGATTTATTGGTTTTTGTAGCGCCAAAAGTCGCGATTTTTAAGGTATTTTGCTTTTTTTAATCAGAATCGGAAAGAAATTTTGTATGTTTAATATATTGTTTGAAAGGGCATTAAGAGCTCTTTCGAATGGTTTATCAATTGCTCTATAACTTTACGGTATGGCAGCGCAAGAATGAGCGATGTTCAAAAACCCTGTTCGAGTTCTGCAGGGCGCCACGCGTAGGGTTGCGGGAGAGGAGGTTGACGCTCTGCCAAAATAATGGGCGAAGATCGCTTTTATAAGCACAGTTTACGTTGCAACTTGCTTGTTGTTGATCGAAACAAGAAATTAAAAATTCAGTAAAAATCAAGCTGCCCCATTTTTTACCGTTCACCCTAATAAAAAATGGTATGGCCTCTTGTGAGAAGCAATCAAACCTGAATTCTGACGTATGACACAAACGCTAAATCAAGCCGAACGTATACATTCTTTCTTCCAGAGGTGAGAGTTGTGGAGTTAACAGAGTCTACATTGGCACAATTATATCTAACTTTCCTTTTGAATGTGTATCTGCGAACGGACTCAAGGAAGTTCAGTTCTAGAATATGTGTGCTAGACATGGAAAAGCACTGGCGTGCTAATCATTAAACTGTGACTGACTTATGGTTGCAAATAATGAAATGTAGAACTCAAACATTTTTTACAAACTTGTGGTGGACAAATATGTTAGGTTGTCCCGAAAGTTTTGTCGGTTTTTTTCATCGCTCACTAAAACCCAAAGAACACCAGTTCATGGACGATCTAGGTATCATTTAATTTAGATTTTTATACTCTTTCTTATTGCCAAATTTGCTTTTCTGATCTACCCTGTCTTTGCAATATTATCGCCATGGCTTTTTAAGCAGTTCACCACTAACGCCAAATCTTTCCCGAATTTTAGAAATTTTTATGCTGCTGTTTCCGAAAAGCGCTAGTAACTGTTACGTAGAGCAAATTTTTGGCTACATTGTGTTTACTTTAGATTACATGGATCACGTTTATCAAGTCCGTTATAATTATTTATTTAAGAAAAACCGCGGTTCTTTGATTACGTCTACCACGTAAAGTTACCGAAAATCCCAAAAAGTCGATTTTTCAAAGCAGATTAAACTTGGTTATGTTGCTTAGTTATTGTTTATTAGCAATCAAGTTTCAATTCGCAAAAATTTCAAGAGCTTTCATGTTTTTGCTGCAGTTGCGTGTTTCATGACTTTACCAAAAATTGAGACCTCCGAAGAAATAATTTTTTGAAGCTAAAGACAACATTTTAGGAGAATGTAAAAATACCACCTTGTAGTTCGAGAATTGTTCTATTTGCACCATACTTAACAACCACCGAAACATTGGAATGAAATTTTTAAAAATTAGCCTAACTTTGGGCAGATAAATATGACGTGTGAAGAAACAAATATCAAAAAAAGCATACAGGATTATTGCTAGGAAATGTAGCCGTAAGAAAGAGAAGGACTGCAATGAGTGCATGTTTAAACCCACTCAGATCTTCATTGTGCGTAGTTTTATAGCGGTTTCAAAAAACCGACAAAACTTTTGGGACAACCTAATAATAGCATAAAGCAGAAATGATAAATAAATATAATAGCAAAAGCAGTGTGGAATCAATACTGTTCAGAATCAAGTATATCTGCGTACATCAGAGAAGAACTGTGTTCAAAAACTGAGCTAGTTTTCTCGGTCACACTGCGAGTACTAGCAGAAATTTGGTCACATAAAGTGTAGCTTTTCATACTGTTAGAGGCAGCCTCCGGACAAACTTCGAACAAGATTTTTTTGGCTTATCTAGGCTTACTCTCCTGCTGATTCCAAATGCAGCTTGCGAGTACGAAAATGTCGAAAACGGGCTATTCCAGAAGCTTTTGTTTGAATATAAAATCTTGCCGCCAGGCTTGAGACGCAGAGTCATGGTAAGGCCTACGCCTTGACTGTGTGCGACATGTGTACTCTGGCTATCGATAGAAGGGGAGAACTGGTCGCCGGGGCTTTCCGGTGTCACTTCTGAAGCGCTTACCTCGCTTCAGAAGCAAAGTAGTGCAGTTAACACTCGCGCAAGAGCTTTACCAGGACGGGGACCCTGTACGCTACAATTTCATATCCGCCCGGACGCTACCTTCAAACTTCCATCTCTTACTGTAACTGTTTTCGAAGCAATTTCTACTATGCTTACATGTAGGTTCAGCTGGTTGATAAGCGTGGTCAAATCAACAGTTTTTACAGCCCATTCGACAGCATCTCGGGATAATGCAGACTGCACAATTCCGCGAACCATAGTTACTTTACCTGCCAGTTGTTTTGGCGTGGCTTGTGATTCTGCAAATGAGAAGTTCTTACGAAAGTTATAAAAAACACCGAAGTACCATTACGAAAGAGTTTCAACGAACGGGCATCCCAATTTGCTGAGTAGTTCCATCTATTGCTTTCACATGGCCTTGCACAAACATCGTTGGCTCCACCAAGCTCTTTTAAGATTGATACCGTTTCATATACGGTTTTAATCATCATGTCGTAATTCTGAACGCCATTGTATCGATTATATCAGCTTATACTTCAAGTTTATCGCTTGACTTTCACCTTTTTTGCCAAAAAGTAGAGTCATTGCTGGTCTTGAATAACATTTTGTTTCATTTCTTTTTCGCGATTTTCTGTTATGAATCAGTAAATGGGATATCTTTCAAATACTGATTCAAAGGATCTTTTCGTATAGTCGGTGCGAGTGGTGCTAAAACATCTTATTTCTTTCTTGGACTAAATCGCACACTTCATAAACTAAAGGAATCAGATTATTGAGTTGTATACAATGCAATCTCTTCTTTCTAGCAGGCCGAGGAGATGATCGCCGTATCTTACGACCCTTCATTTCTACCGTTTTACTTATGCTTCGCAAATCATATTTCAGTCTGTGAAGGTACTCTGACAAAGCTTATGCAAATTAAAACAATTTTATATTTCTCTAGCTTTCTTTTCAGAATTTTTTAGATGATTGACAATCTTGAATTCTGGAAATATCGCGCGACATATAGAGCAACCGAAGATTACTAGTCTCCTGTATACTGAGGTCTTATAACAATATCCTACCACCATTGACTTCACAAGTAAAAGAGTGATTATCGCTTTGAAATATGTAGATTTTTGAATTTAGATTGCAAAGGTGAAAATACTGTGATTTTCTGGGCAAATTTGCGTGTCTCGCAAAAAGAAGACAATGATAGGGGTTGAAAAGTTGCTTTGAATGGTACCTAAATGACTATTCCATGTTGAATGTGTAGAGTATTTTGCCGAGCCCATATTTTACGGTAAATCTTTTATTGCCTTACGTTTCGACACGTTTTGTCTTCTTCAGAGGCCTAAAAGAAGATTGCAGTTTTGATCTGTGAGACTACACCGCCAAACGCCATTCCCGTACTCATCGAGTCCAGACGTTGTCCCATGCATAACGTGCTGAGATGCACGCCGAAAAGGAAACCAATCCTCGATTCACCGCGATATCGATGTTAGTAGTCCGCACCGAAGTACTGGACGGTAGCCGCACACTGATGTTGTAGACGACACTGAGTGTCACTCGTGTGTCACGTTTTTGGGGTAGGGCTATTTTTCGCATAATGATAGGAAGGGCAAAAAATCAGTTATCGTTAGGTAACTGATGATAACTGATGATCTTTTGCCCTGAGGCCAACATTCGGCAATTTTATAAAATTCAAGAAAAGGCCAAGCCGGTTTACTAATTTTTCTTGCCAATAGAATCACTCGTCGCCTTATTAGGTGTATCGACTCCGGTAACAATGTACTGATGGAACTTCGAAATTTGGATTTGTTGGTATTTTAAATTACTGAAACAATATATGTTGAAGAAAGCAAGTATTTAAACGTACCTGAAGCAACAGGACGTAACGCCAGCCCTCGAAATTGGACAAAAGTTTCAGACAGTCGTAATGTGCTTGGTTCATATTGTGTCCGTGTCTACTTATGCTATAGCGCGCTGAAAATTACTGACAAATTATATTTGCCTTTGATTTTGAGAAATTGACAAAATAGCCCAGGTAAAATCTGGTTGCTAGCGCAGTGCCTTGAACACCAACATAAGCAAGCGCTTGCGGCAAGAAGCTGTAAGCGGTTTTCCTAAAGTTCTCCTCTGCCTTTTGTTATTTTATTTATTTATTTATTTATTTATTTAAATATGCACTATAAGTGCGCCAAAAGAAATAGGTTGACAGAACTATTTGAACTGCAGAGTATGGTTAATTGAGAACGATTTTGAAATTCTTGTCGTTATCGACCTACAAGGTACAAGTGTGCATTGCACTGTATTCGCAAAGTATTCAAGTTCTGCTCGATTATTATAAGATATGCTATTAGCACAAGTCATACTTGATTCAAGAACCATCCCCATGCTCATATGTTATAGAAGTGTCTTGCCATTAGCTCGCAACATAGCTCAATGCGAACCATGTTATCAAGCTTTCAGTCGCGCATAATCGTTCGACATTACCCTGGAAACGATATCGATTCGTCTGTATTACAATACCGCTCACATTTTTTGAAAAATAGACGCGAATGTACATACATGTCGCCACATGTATGTACATGTGGCGACATGTCCATACATTTAGCGACATGTCGCAGGAATGATGCACATGTCGCTACATGTATGGGCATTACAGTCGCGTGGCCATATCTCGCTTCAGAGTTGTTGAATTTTGAATCCAAACCACCATTCGATTCAGATCGGCGAGGAGAATCTTCTGATATATTGGAAGTGGGGCTACGATGTCTTCGATATTCCGTTTCCAGTTTTTTCAAATTCCTCTGCGGAGGTCCTTCTGCGAATATGTGAAGCAGCGCCTATCCAACATAGAAGACTTTACTAAGTGCTATTCGATAATGCTGTTCTTGTAGATTATTGTGCGCCAAAGTTAGGCCCAGACTTCTTTCCAAAGGAGATAGAAGCGTTGGTGAATTCTGGAAAAATCACGTTTTTAAATTCTACTCGCCATAACTTCCTTCGGGATAAGTATATTTTGAATCTGAACACAGCGCCTTGCTCAGCTCATCAAGGCAAATCTTTTTATATACAGCATGTCCTTGATATTTCAATCAGTATTTTTGAATCTTTCTGCGGACATCTTTTCGCGAAGGTGTAAAGCAGCAAGCATTGTCCCCAGTAAATTCCGGCAGGAATCTTTCGATAGTATTTTTTCTGTAGATTATAATATGCTAAATAGTAGCCGCAGATTTCTTTTCAAAGGCAATAGAACGGCTGGTGAACTGTAGAAAAATCTTGTCGTCCCAAATTCTACTCGCAATAGCCACAGTATACGAAGCTATATTGCTGAGCAGATGTGAGTTTCGAAATCAGCAGATCGTATAACCTCTACGAGCAAGTTTTCCGATATGTTCGGGTTATTTCATTTTTTTCGTTTTACACTTTGAAAGATCGCCGATGGATTTTGGTCAAAATGTTGATGCTCTTGAATTGTAAGGTGACTCCGCTTATAGAGGTTTTCAAACACGCTTTTTACGAAAATCGTGGATTTGAGGATTGGTCTTTTTGGAGAGATACGGTGAGTTGACTGTAAGTGCATCACGAAACTGCGTAACTTTGCCCGCACTTCTCGCGTTCTATCAGAAAGCTTGCCTGCTTGCTTTTCGAAGTCAAATTTACTAGGAATTGAGCTATCGAAAGGTGCATGACTCAGACTCCAGTCTGTAAAATTCGCCAAGTTACGAGCTTACGAAAACACGTCCTCGTGATTTTCGCCCAAAATGTAAAGATCGCATATTTCGTCGAAATTCCTCCGTGAGCGCTTGTACAACACGCTGATTAAATCTTTTCACATTTCTAATGGATCTTATTGCGTTAGATTTGGTGCTTTGAGCTCTAGCCACGAAATAGCTTTGATATTCAATGTCACGCACCTTTATTTGAAAAAAAAATTTTTTTCGCCCTCCCCTCCGGACGGAAATCCTGGGACCGCCACTGGGTCTCAAATATAGGACTACCAACCCTATCACTAGCAAGGAGAATAGGCAAATCTATGGCTAAATGTTGTTTTGGATATGTAAAGAATTTCAAGTAAATTCAATTCATCAGCATATGTGTTGCGCACTTCCACACAGTATAGAGATTTCCTAAGATTTTCTGAATTTTCGCTGAAATGTAGATGATCTGTATGATAAAGCCGAGTGTCTGTATGCCTGTCTGTGTTTACGTACGCTCCAGATGGAAACTTTTTTGAAAAGTTCTGGACCAAACCTGGCATATACACACTTCGGGGAGGGGCGGGTGTCGTAGGCTATTTTCGTCATCAATCGAAATCAATTTTATCGATTTTCTGCAAAGTTTCATCTACGAGGCGGGAATTGGCACAGGAAAGGGGAGCAGGAGGGGAGGGGGGGGGGGGGGTAGTGAGCACGTTGATTACAGAATGTCACTGACAGTGCCGCGCGGAGCCGGGTTCCAGCTAGTATCTCTTAATGATAGTGTTGTGCTTTGTAGAGCCAATTTCCCCAGGACATTATTGCTTGCACGCTTAGGCAGGGGCTACACTCCTCGGTGAGTATAGCATGGCGACGGGTGATCGCCAGTCGCTAAAGTGGACGACTGCACTTTTGACACCTATCAATTGCGGGCATGTTTTTTGTCCATTCAATACGTATCCAATGTGTGGTCGCCAAAACTCGCGATCGCCGAAGTCGATGTCAAAGTCGCGATTACTGGCGATCGTCAATCGCCAATATTGGCGACTTTGTCTTTTATGCGTATCGATCGCCAACGAGTTGACACACGTTCAGTCAATACGCATTTAACCTGTAATTGCCAACACCGGCTATCACCAAACGTTACTACTGGCGACTTCCAGTCGTAGCGATTGATGATCGGCAGTAGTAGCGATTGGCGATCGCCAGTTTTCGGCGACTACACTTTTGATATGTATCGATTTGACATGTGGTAACTTGTTTGCGATCAATAGCTATGTAAAATACAGTCGCCAATAGTAGCGACTGGCGATCGCCTCGGCAACAAAGATCACTCATTTTACACGTATTTAATGTATTTGATGCATATCGAGATCGAAGGGGCGCTATACTCTTAGCAGGAGCATAGCGCCTATCTTGCCTTTTGAAAGAATTAAGGAATTTTTTTCAGAGTAGTTGTTTTTGCTCGAAATTTTTGGACATTTTTACCAAATTTGGCCAGGGAAGTGGACATCCCCTGAAGTAGTGTTCTGCTCTGAGCAACGTGTGCTACATATTTCCCCTCATAATATCAGTGTTGCTCATATGCTCATCTTTCTGAGGGGAGAATTTTTGTACAGCAGTTACTTTTAAGATTCAAAATTATCAAAAGTTTTCTTAAAATGCCCGGAAAACAAGATATATAGTAACTCCTAAATGATCTGATGCCCATTATTTTCGACGTTGAGCTTTTCGAAAATTCGATGAGAATGGGTAAAATAACAAGTATAATAACAAACGGTCACTACATATCAGTTGCAGAGTCTGTTGCACCAGCAGCTCCCATCCGGCGCGGCCGCCTCGCCTGCACTTTGCATCTCTTTTGCAAACATGTGCTCTCTTATCACTTTCCCACCACGAGCATGGGAATTGCGGAGCTTCAAACGTTAATTAAGAGTGCGAATATGATTAGAGAACAGTTTAACGAGAGAGGCGAAGTGCACAAGCGAGGCGGCCGGGCCGGCGCGGGGACGCTGGTGCACGCGACTCTGCAACTGATAAACCCTCTACATTTTTATTCAGCATGCTTTGATACCCGTCCTGCAGTCCCTCTCAGCCCTTTATTCCAGAATTGCAAATAATCAATGAAGATTTGAGTAGTGGGTATTTTTATGAACAGTTAAAATTGTAACCACCGTACTCACTTATCCTACCGTGTCAACTCCTATCGCTTAGCTCTAAGATTGCAAATGACGAGAAAATTGGTAAGTATTGGCTGTTTTCATAAAAAGTTATTTTATTCGTAATCGGCATATTCATTTATCACCCTAACTCAACACCCATTTCGTTGCTCAAGGTTTGCAAAATTTAGCATATCTTTGAGATGAACAATGTAGTAAGATGTGTAGACAAATTAATAACTGGTATAATTCAGTTCAACTGTTATCACCATATGTTTGCATATTTCAAGGCACCTGCCATGCGATTCAATATTAATACGTTTCGAACCGGTGCTGCAATTGGTGCAGCAAGCTGCTTCGAAGGATCTTCTGACGTTTACAGGAGGATTTCTTTTAGTCCAAAGTTGTTAAGTCAAAGTTTGAGCTCCTACTTCTCAAATGACTCTGTAGAGTTGTGCCGCTCATATAGGTTTAGAAGATATGAGGACAAATCGAACAACAGTTGCAAAGAAGTGCGGCAACGCGAACGATGCGTGAGACGTCGCAACTTTTCCTTGCTTCGATTTCAAGAAGAAAAACCGTGATTTCAGTAATGATGTCCATTGTGTACAACATAGATACTTTTGAATGCTATTTGAAACTGAGTAAAGCACAAAAGCCCCTCTCAAACGACAAATTTCAAACACATCGAAATTCACTCAGAACTTTTGGTATGGGGCTTACCTGACATGCTGATTACAGATGTAGCCCACAAGCTGCGAAATAAGATCCCTTTGTAGGCTAACGGCCGAAAGTACACTCTTTTTCGCCGCGTGCGATTTCGCGGTCCGAAACATGTTAACAAAGCAAATAGGGCAACTTAGCATTTGCGTGTCGTGTTTTTTCGAGCTAGCCAAAGCACGTAAAAGTAGTGTAACTGTTCCCTTCAGGTTCAGTTTTGGATGACATTCGTCAGACACCTCCAGAAGCTAAGGCTTACTAGTTCTCTCCAATAAATCTGGACTTGTCAAAAAAATCACCATTTAAAAATAACCTTTATCAAAACTGTAGATGTCTATTCAGGTTGCAAACTCTTTTGAGATTCGTAGCCGATCTAATGAGTTAGCCTTGTCAACGTACCACTGGTGGCAAGTAAAAAGTGTAACAAAGATTAGATTCCGATCTATCTAACGTATAGTCTTTTTTGCATACGTTTCTGAATATTCTACTTCATTATCTTACTAACAGTATGAAAAATGGTTTTAGCTAAAACTGCTCCGGAATCGCTGTACCTTTTCATCGATTGGAGTTTTCTAGACAAGCTATAAAGTTGCTGTTCGATAGCTTTGAATTTAAGAAGTTGGTAGCATTTACCTTTCTATTAGTCAAAAAAGTATTCGCTGTTTGTCGGACATTTAATTTTGCGACAACCCGTAATAAGAAAACATACTTGGAGATAATAGCACATTCGGCAGGCACTTCGAAAGCGCTTCAATACGGGCATAGAATTTACGACTGGACTTTGCGTCTACCGAAAAGCAGAAGATGTTTTGCGGGTGATAGCTGGATCTGACTTCATCCTCTATGAACTGGTAGCTCTAAATTATATAGTATCGTGGGTGCTCAAAAAACGGTCATACACACTAAAGAAAGCAGAATAAAAGTTAATTCAATATTTAGATAATTTGAATACATCAGTACAATTTGCAAACCGTCATGCCGTTTTTGCTAAGTATACTTTTAACGGTTTTGAAATTTTATTTCCTGCTTTTAAAATATTAGTGTGTCTCATAATTTTTTACCGCTTTTATCCTAAACATCAGCATTTCACAAAAACTGGGCCATTACAAAGGATACAGGTACATGATCTCTGTATGTATGGGACCTATGATCACATGCGTGGGAGGAGCTCTGGAAGTTTAGAGGCGGAGTTTGCCATTTCATCTCATTAATTTTTTCCTTTATTTCCAGCCATGAAAAAATTTCAGTGTGCAGTCCAATGTGTGATGTGTCAGGTATATGCTAGAATAAATGGGCAATTTTTTTAGACACTTGGAGCGGAGATACGATTTTTGACAGAAAAGTTCGTTTTCGACTACTATCAGGTTTAAGTATAAAACTTCAGGTGGAATAGGTTTTGGGCAGACTTTTGATAGCCATCTTGTAGAGCTTGTTTGTCTGTCGAATGATTACCCAAGCCACATCAAATGAAGGAAAGTAGTAAAAACGGTAGAAAATTACGAGACACCCTAATATAATACATTTGAAAATAAACGTATGAAGTTAATATGCAACATATTTTTCAAAACTTTCCACAGCTCTTTTTTGACAGAGATTATTTGTAAATATCATAACTTATAATAACGGGCTAAGCTTGGTTACGCGTTTTTGCATGTGTGTGTGTCTGTGTGTCTGCTTGTAACGAATAGAGCGAGTTCCAGCCAACGTCCAGCATCCCAATTTTGCATAGCGCATGCTTCAGCGCTATGCAAAATTGGGATGCTGGACGTCCAACAGGCGAATTCGTTGGATTGGATTCCCTCGAAAATTGCGCGTCAAACGGATCCACTTGGCCTCTGACCGGCCATATTGGGTCCGTATCTTTTTGCAAAGTTGTGGACATGTTTGGCATGTCATTGCAAGCCATGGACTTTTGTCTAAAAAATTGACCAAAGGTCTATACTTTACGAAAGCGACGCCAAAGAGTATCGGTTGCGTAAGTGGTCAATTTGTCAAGGTTCTACCGAAGCATTTTAGAAGCTTTTTGCACAGAGATGTAGCTCACGGTCAAAATTGTTCTTATGACGGCTAACAAGCCAAAAAAGCGCAGAAATCAATTCAAATTTGCATTTGTTATTTTGCGAGAAGTTTCATTTATGTAATCTCTCCCTCACATGAAAAAGCTTTTGGAGTGAGAGTTGTTTACATTTTATTGCTAACTAGCTGGCAAACCCGCTCCGCCCGGCCCTGTCATTATTATATTCGTAATCAGCATGCTCGATTACCCCCCTTTGCCAACTCCCAGCCCCGTAGCTCAAATTTTGCAAAAAATCGATAAAATCGATATCGATCGATAACGAAAAGTACCCTATGACACGCTCCCTGCCCCGAAGTATATGTGTGCCAAGTTTGGTCCAAATCGGTTCAGAAATAAAAATTTCTATTCCGCACATACGTACAGACATACAGACATACAGACAGACATACAGACAGACATTCAGCTTTATATATAAGACTAGGGAAGGATACTTGGTCAGAATGGCATTACCATATGCGATGTGCACTGTCTTATAGAGTACTAGTTGACTTACCCGGCTCCGCCCGGCTCTGCCCGGCCCTGTCATTATTATATTCGTAATCAGCATGCTCGATTACCCCCCCTGTGCCGACTCCCAGTCCTGTAGCTCAAATTTTGCAAAAAATCGATAAAATCGATATCGATCGATGGCGAAGAGTAGCCTATGACACCCGCCGCGGGCCCGAAGTGTATGTGTGCCAAGTTTGGTCCGGATCGATTTAGAAATGGAATTTTCTATTCGGAACATACGTACATATTAGGTCGGTGCAAAAGTTTTGCAGTTTTTTCAATCCATCGGCAAGCACGCTAGAATGGAGATAAACAAACATTTCAAAATGTATCCGATGCAGAATTTCTTCCTCTTTCCAGCGGCTAAACTTCTTGTGTTTGGTTGAGAGAGTGACGCGATATTTGCTGGAAATTACAACCACACGTTTTTACCATGTCCAACTTTCGCTAAATTTCAAAATTTTTACATGAGACTTTCGGAGGAGCCCTAATAACAAGCAGATAGGGCAAACGTTTTGCCAACTTACGCAATTTTTTCTTTTTTTCAGCTGCTTTTTCAGATTTTTGCTAAATAATTTTCTAAAAGTCTTGTGTTACGGATAAATCGCATAACCTATTACTGCACCAAACACTGCAAAACCTGCAGAAAACTGAGGTTTCAACACACGATGTTACTACCGCTACCATTACAAAGTAAATGAGCGATTTTTGCTTCAAATATGAAGATTTTGAAACATAAGTTACGTCATTGCGCACTCCTGAAATTGAGAAATGCTGCGATTTTTTCCACAAATTTCGCCTGTCTCGACAAAAAAGACAAGTATTAGAAGGAGGAGAAAGAGTTAATCGAATGGTGACTGAAATGTTTAACACTTTTTGTTCTACGGCTTAAAATAGGCTGAATGTAATATTTGGTCACTTCAAAAAATAAATCGTAGAAATTCTGAAAGAAAGCCGTAGGGCTACAAAAAATTGCTTCTGTTGGCAAAAGATTTGCTCTATCTGCTGCTTCTTAGGACCCCTCCGAAAGTCTCATACAAAAATTTTGAAAATTAGCGAAAGTTGGACATGTTAAAAAAGAGTGGTTGTAATTTCCAGCAAATATCCCGTCACTCTCAAAACCAAACACAATGGGAGTTCAGCCGCTGGAAAGAGGAAGAAATTCTGCATCGGATGCTTTTTGAAGTGTTTGTTTATCTTCATTCTAGCGTGTTTGCCGATGGATTAAAAAACTGACAAAAGTTTTGCACCAACCTAATACATACATACAAACAGACATTCAGCTTTATATATAAGAAGATAGTGAGTTTTAATGCCATTATTTGGCGAGAATGAGTAGGACAGATGAGTAGAACCAGTCGATCCTGCGAAGCAGAAATGAGGCATGGTATTATATAATGATTAGTGCGTCACCGCTGCTTCGCAGAGGCTCGCACCGATTCTATTAACTATATGCTTTCCTCGTGCCCGCGTAGTATTAACTTTGGAACTCGCCGCACAATGCTCACCACCACAAGTGAACTGTAAGCAACTGCTCAATCCAACGATTACTGTGCAAAATCGGTAGCTTTGGAAGAGAAAAAAACGTTTTTGCGGAAGAAAAGACTTGAATTTGAGTCACTTACTAAATTTCATTTGACCTAAAATTCGGCTTGAGGACGATAGCCATGCAAGCTAGACCTCTGAGCAAAAATCCTCTCACTTTCTTGAGAAAATCATGACTCGGCAATCTAAACAATCGTTGCTTTTCGGCGCCGTTTTCCGAAAAATATAAGTTTTTTGGTGACTTGTTGGGCTTAAGCCACAGATATACTCGCAATTTTGTAAAAAGTATAAATACAACTTCAGTTTTGCGGGCCAAAAACCGCGTGGACCCGTTTGATGCGCGATTTTTGTGCGTTCTACACAGCAAATCCGCTCGACTTTTGGATTTTGGACCTACATGCTGGCGACGTGCGTCATGCAAATTGTGGCTTGAGACGTTTGCTGCAACTCACTCTATGAATCATAGGTGCGATAGTGTGAGAATTTGCTCCTACCCCCCCCCCCCCTTCACCCCTGAACCGGGACCAAGGTGACCTCCTTCACCAAAAGCCGTGGAAAAATCAATAGTGAGGTAAGGTTAAGGAAAGGAGATATTTGTAGGGAATTGTTTGTGTATCGGAAAGGATAAAGAAGATTTATAGGATTCACGAACTTCCAGAAGGAAAAAAAATAGTAGCTTCTGTAGCTGTGTAGCAATGCCAGCGAGGAAAGTTCCGTAGCACAACGTTCCCCTCTGGTTTCAAAGAATAAATGTTTTGCCGTTCATAGAAGTAGGTAGTGAAAGGTATGCCTAGTGATTTCTGGGCACTTACGAGCTTTGAACATGAAAAAATTCATAAATGTTGCAGATGAATAGCTGGTACAAGAAAATAATGACCATCGAAACCGCCTCGTCCTCCGTTTTCAAAAAAGATATAGCATCTCTGAGATCCGTCCAAAAACGTGCCTGGGGAAGTCTGGGGAATTTTCGAGTTTTTGATAAAAAAAATCATAGCTTCTGTAGATGAATAGCTGGTGCAAGGAATACCATCGGAACCGCCTCGTCCTCCGCCTTCAGAAATATACAGTGGCAGGGATCCGCCAAAAAAACTGCCTGGTAAAGGGTGGGTGAGACTCCTGTACTGGGAGTTCTCAGGTGGAGGCTTTTTTACAAGTGTAAAAAGACGTCTACTTGAGAACTCCCATTACAAGAGTCTCACCCACCCTTCACCAGGCACTTTTTTTGAAAGACCCCAGACAAAGTATATTCTGAAAGCGGAGGACGAGATGGTTTAAATGGTGTCCATTTCCATGTACTATCTGTTTATCTGCAAAAGTTATAAATTATTTCATATAAAAACTCGAAAATCTCCAGAAATGATTAAGCAGAATGAATCTCAGACATGCCATGCATTTTTTAAGAGCGGAGGACGATGCGGTTCCGATGGTGACTATTTCCTTCTACAAATTGTCCATCTACAAAAGTTACGGCAGGCAAACTATATATTCTCTGAAAGCGGAGGACAAGATGGATTTGAAAACAATTTCCTTGCTGACGTTACTGTTCATGTACAGAAATTACGAAATTTTTCCTTTAGAAAATTTGCGAATGCTTAAAAATTGCCTGAATCTTTCCGAAAAGAATGTTCTCGCATGCACATCTTCTATTGTAATTTCTTTAACAGGCAGGGTGATGTATAAAAGGGAAAAGGAAATATAAAAAAATACAAGGTGCTGGTCAGAAACATAATTGTGTGCTAATTCAGC